ATGAGGGCAATGAACGTACAAATGCGCTTTACACAATTGATGTGTGTATGGATTGTGATAAGAGTTGTATGAGCCCCTAATGAAATGATTAAAAAGCAACAACAACAACAGCAAAAAAGAAGTCCTGGTGGCACAGCAGGTTGGTGATTCAAAATCCAGCATCTCTTTCAGGGGTTAAAGATCAGCGTGTCTGCTCCTGAAAAGATTTACAGCCTCAGAAACCCTACGTAGCAGTTCTAATCTGTCCCTTGTGGTCATTGGGAATGAAAATAGACATTATGACAATGGGCCATTACCTAACTCAAGAAACTGTGGTTGTGCAGAGGTTCTAATGTAAAGGTTAGTGCTTCAAATCCACAAGCCATTCCATGGGAGAGCAGAGTGACAAACTGCTCTCATACTGATTTCAGAAGATAAAACGGTATGGAGCAGTCCTCCTATCTTACAGGGTGACTAGGAGTGAGAGTCATCTTAATGCGCACAACATTTTTAAACTCCATTCTTGCTCCTTGTCTGTCTGTAGCCACGTTCTGTAAACAGCAACTTGTGTTCTCCTGACACCTGTCTTCCTTTACAATTTTACTCTGAGGATAGTTTTTCCAGTCCCACATACATTCAAAGCATAATCTGTAGGAGGAAGGGCACACTTAACACAAGTGTAGTATGACAAATTCCTCGCAACGATTTAACTAGTATGATGTGACATACATGAAGATGGGAAAGTGAGCAATTCTACCTGTAAAGAAATTATGAAACATCACCTGGCTTCTTACACCACTTTATCTAAGCGCCACGGGTATCTCTTAGCACTTTCTTGACTCTGCCACTCAGTTCAATGTCATGTACAAAGAAGACCCTTAAGCCTATTTTCAATGTATTTAACACTTTGAAGATATATTTAAATTGCATAATGGTTCTATGAATGCAATTTAGTATTCACAGCAGCTCAGAAGAGCAAAATAATTCTTATGTAAAATTTTTTCAGATTTTGCCAACTAAAATCAGCCGACAAGAAATGTCCCACAAGCAGGAGGAACAAGGAGACCAAACCGAAAACAAACTCACTGCCATCAAATCAATTCTGAGTTACAACAACCTATAGGATAGGGTCGAACTGCTCCTGTGAGTTTCTTAGACTGTTAACTGTTAATGGGAGTAGAACGTCCCATCTTTGTCCCAGTTAGCAGTCAGTGGTTTTGAACTGCTTAACTTGTGGATCGAAAACCAACGCATAACTGCTACTCCATCAGGACGCCCCTCAGGCAAGTGTACTTTTATCTCTAGTATAGAATCTTGTTCATTACGAGAGCACCTATCTCACTCGTAAGGCAAAAATGTCCTTTCCTAGAGTCCAGGTTGGGGGAGAGAGTCTAAAATCCCACAGCTAGCCCTCTGCCTGGCCTGATTCACAGCTTAAAATCCCACCATCTTCGGGTGATGAAGCTACATATGGACAGCAAAAGCCTTTAAAACTTGCAAATATCATCGAATATGCATACTGTATGGAAACACTTATACCATAAGGTTATAGCCATTTGCACTTTATTCTCACTACTTTAAGGCTTGAGTTTCTGAGCTGAGGGCAAGATGAACCTGAAGTCTACCCTAAGTGACCATGGCAATGGAACATAGAACCTCTGAGCAGAGCCAGACTAGGGTCTGGGATCAGCATGTGGGCTCCTCCTGACAAGGCCAACTCAGCCTTGCAGTTCAAACTACACGGTTTGCCAACCCAAGCCTTCCAAGAAATCTTAGCGGCCACCGGAGGCTGCAGTCGGGGTGCCCGCGCTCATAACAAGGAGCGGGCATCCTGCAGGCAGGCGGGACTCACCACGTCCATAATCTGCAGGAGGCTCAAGGAGAAGTAGACAGTGAGCGGCTGCGAGTCATTGGCCACCGGTCTCTCCAAAGGGTTGTAGTTCTTGACCAGCTCCTTGTAGAGCTTCCTCTGGAACTCGCCTTGCAGAGACACTTCAAGAGAGGAGAAGCTGCTCAGAGAAGGTAAGCCCGAGGTGCGCCCCACACCC